CCATGGCCACATTACTCGGGTCACATACAGGGGTCCTTCCAGCTCTTTCATCTGTCCCCCCCCCACCCTCAACTGCCTCCCTCCCACATGGGACCTTGCAGTGGGCAGCCCTCCTGCACTCCTTATATCCCAAGGCAGCCTGTGCCTCCAGGGCCTGTCATCTGTCCCCACGTGGGTCTGAGGGTGGGACCACATTAGGGAGGCTGAGGGACCTTGCCAGATCTCCTGGGGGTGGTGGTGCTGGAGGAAAAGGGTGAGGGCCCCTGAGTTTGGGAGGGGAATCCTTCCTGCCCCTTGGGAGGGCAGACTCCTGGCCATTTGCTCAGCCCTGGGAAACCACCCAGGAGCCAGGTGCCCCAAACCTCTGCCAAGTTTCCCTTTTCTGCACCCCGAGGAGCCAGCCTGTGCCAATGGTTTCCATGGAAACAGAGCCAGAGACACCCCCCCCCTCCTTTGCAGGATGCACGAGAGAATTTGCACTCCCTTCCTTTTTTTTTTTTTTTTTTGAGTCAGCCAATTAGCTCCAACTTTCAGATCCTCAGGGGCAGAAAATAGTCTGGAGTTGTTGACCCACTGAGGCAAGGAGGGCTGTTTCCAGGGCAGGAGACAGCCCAGGGGTCCTGTCCTGCTGGACAGGCTGCACCTCATGCTGGGAGCCCCGGAACGAGGGTGAGAAGCTGTTGGTCAGAGGCCAAGCTCTCTGGGGCCAAGTCCTTGCCCACTGGCCTCCTCTGCTCTGAGTAAAGCTCCCATAAGCAGGGACTCACTGAACATTCTGTCTTCACAGTGGCCCTGGGAGGAAAGTGTCATGATCTCACTTTGCAGATGGTGAAAACGAGACCCAAAAAAGTTAAAGGATTTGCCCAGGGTCATAGGCCAGAAAGTGACAAAGCCAGTACCCACGGTGTTCCTTTCGTTCCAAAGTGACCATGTGGACAAGATCCCACCCTACCTCGCATGTCCCATGCATCAGCTAGGAAACCCCCACCACACCATCTAGGACAGGCCTGGCCTGACTCAGGGCATGGTGTGAGGAGGCTGCACCCCAAAGAAGCGACTCCCCAGACCAGCATGGCCCTCTGTAGAATCACCCACCTGCTACTTGGGACACTCGCTGAACTTCCCCTACTCAGGATGCTTTCTTCCAAAGGAAGGAGCTTTGAGCTGCGACAGAACAGGACAGCTGCCCTCCTCGGCCAAGCCCCAAGCCCACTCATCCCCCCTTGGTGAGTGGGCCTTGGGGACATCCCACTGCAGCTGCCATCAATGAGGTGTCCCTCATACAAATGCTCATCTGGGGTATGTGTGCCTCTGCCGTGAGCCTTGCCCCACTACAGGCCCCTTCTTGCCCCCCTCTAGCTCCCACACCCTCAGGGCTTTTCCAGAGCCCCAGGCACTTCCAGCTGGACTCCCTCACTGGGCCCTTGGGGGATGCAGGAATGAGAAAGGGCAGGAGGGAGTGGAGGGGGAGGAGTTCAGGAGCAGGGCTCCTCACACGGGCCTCAGTGGGGCTGGGAGGCCCTGACAGTGGTGTGGGCTTGTGGGCATCAGCAAACTTACCCCAAGAGGGAGTCGGGGAGTTTCCAGATTCTTTGGCAGCGTGTCAGACCCAAAAAAGGTTAGGAAAGGCTGCAAGAGAGCCTTACCTTGTGGGCTGCACACACTTCAGCCTGACGGGTTTCAGCTATGGTTTTTCTCACATTGGCAGTTAGGAGGGGGAGCCCAAGGATGGGGAGTTTGGAAGGGGGACAGGAAGGGATCCTTTCAAGCCTGGAGAAGGCCGTTTCCTTGTGTAACAACATTTGAGAGGAGGCAGGGGCAAGCACTTTCGGCTGGCTGGGGGCTATCCTCTCATCCCCCCTTGGTGAGGGACCCACACCACGAGTCTTGGGTCTTCTGGATCTTCCTCAATTGTTACTCACTATCCTCTCCACTGCAGGCCCAAGTTCAAATTCCTCATCCTCAGGGACTCCAAACCTGGCTCCATGGAGCCCCCAGTCTGTATCCTTTTCCTGGGTCTTTTTTAGGGGGCCCTGGCTCTGCCTGCCCCTGGCCAAGCGGGGGTCGTGCAGGGGGAGAAAGAGAGAGAGAAAGATCCTCAATACGGTTTCTGGGTTTGGGCCCTCACCCCACCAAGAGCCTCTGCCTGTGAGGGAGGCCGCTCTGGGTGGAGATGGACATGGGGAGTCCCCTCCTCAGAAGAGCTCAAGAAGTGTATGCGGCCCCCCAACAGCCTTCCTCCGCTGGCCACAGTACTCGGGGATGTTACCGTGACACCGCACCAGCACAGCTGTGGAACTGGGAAGTCACTGTCACTACTGATCCTGGAAATCTCTTCTTCTGCCCGCCCTCAGGTGGCGGGATGGACACCTGACAGGCCCAGGGAGCTGCTTGGTGGGGGGATGCGACGGTTCTCCATCCCCTTGCCTGGAACCACATAGGGTGACTGGTGGGTGGGGCCTGCAGCCCACTGGAACGGAGCTGCCCTGCAATGCGCTCTGGTGTGGGAGGCTTAAAGCTACGCCCCTCCCTCCCGCAGGCCCTCCACGGGTCCTCGGGGCCTGGCCACGGCCCCCTGCCACCGGGCTATTTCACAGGGGCCTCAGGGCACCAAGGAGCCTGGACTCCCTGTGGTGGCTCCACCTTCTGTTGCTGTGGTCTGTTCAGGCTTCAGGCAGCCTCCTGGGACCTGGCCTGATAGCCCACTGGACCCCCTCACACGATCCCTCGCCTGGGCCAGCAGCCCAGCCTGTCTCCGGCTCTCTAGAGTGTGCAGGTGAGATATCAGTCCACCCGATTTCTCAAACTGCAGGGGACACCATGAAGCTCTCTCCGAAGCCCTCTTCCTTCTGGCTGGATGGGGGGGCATCCCAGCCCTCCCCTTGGGCTCCGCTCACCTCAAAATCTCCCTCCTCTAACCTCAACACCTGACTCTTGGGTATCCTCAGTGTGGTGAGGGTTCAGGCCACCTAAATTCTGTATCACTCGTGGGCAGAGCCCGGTGCTGGGGTGGGGTCAGCTCTCAGCGCACGGCCCCCCTTCCTCCCCCAGGGTGCTGCGGTGGTCTGGCAGCATTTGTAAGATGGGGGAATGCTCACTGCTCCAGGAGTGGCCCATCCAGGAAGGGCAAGGAGGGATTGGGGGCCACAGGGAAGAGGCTTCAATCCAGCAGCACCTGGTGTGTGGACCAGGCTGGCCACACCTCCCAGTTCAATCCCTGGTGTTTAGGCCTGGGAGACAGGGCACCAGGAGAGAAAAGTAGAGAGGTCCTGACTCTAGGAGGGTGGAAAAGAGGGACATCGTCCATGACCCTCCAGAGCCGGAACACAGGCTGACCCCAGAGAATTCAGATACTGCCAGAAACGCCACCATCATTGGTTGATGCCTCTGGGTAACTGTGCCCCTTCTACTCAGCTCCCATCCAGTCTCTGGGCCTTAGTTTTCGCAACCATAAAGAGGTGAACAACAGTGCTTGCATCTGAGCTAATTCATGGGAAGTGCTTAGCACACGTTCATTCTCAGAACTCAATAAATGTTAACTTTGTCCCCTCAGGTGGCCTGAGTGGGCCCCTTCCCACACCGCCCTTCCTCTGCACACTGGAGCCAGCTGGAACTGCCCCGGCCAGACACCTGGCACCTCAGAAGGCCTGGCCGATGTGGCATTTCTTTGGCGGAATCTGGCACTCATGGCCCACGGGGCCTTTGCTCTGGGATGGCCAGGCTGGAGCATCTGGCATGTCCCAGGGCCTTCAATCTGTCATCCCTGCTGCCACAGGGACAGCAAGGACACTTGGATCAAATCTCCTTGGAGACAGGGCCTCCCTCCCACACAGCCCTGGGGAATTGGAACTGGCAGTGTGCCCAGAAGGAAAGGCCACCAGAACTGGAGGACCTGAATCCAAAGCCTGGCTGGGCTTCAACTTGTGAGACCTTGACTCTGTCCCATAGCTTTCCAGAGCTTCGTTTGCTCAACAGTGAAACAAGCATGAAAATCCCCACCGCCTTGAGGGAATGTCGTGAAAGCAGAAGAGAATGTGACCACAAAGGGGCTTTGTTTTACACAGAAAGTAGGATGAGCATTTTAGGATTCCAGCATTTTTAAAACTGAGAAAATATGTAATATATTTTTCTCTGTAGCTATTTTTATCTCTCTGTCACCTGCTGAGTGCCACCCCCATCCCCAGTTACCAGGGCCTGCAGTGCAAGGCCCTGCAAGGCCCTAACAAACCAAGCTCCTTTGAACAGTCACTGTTCAGTTGGCTGGGTGAAGGTCTCTGGAACCTAGATTCAATGAGTGAAAGCCTTTCCCGAGTCAGGGCGGGGGTGGAAATCCGTTAATTTTGTAGAACTCCTACTTCTGATCATGGTGAACTAGGTAATTTGGCCTAAATTCCCAACTAAGGACAACTTAAAAGCTACTCAAAACATCTACTTTTAAGTTTGATTGGAGGTATCAGAGAGTAAACAAGGGAGTAAAGAATCACTGGGCACAATTCTGTGCCCAAAAGGAAAAGAAGGAAACCCGGAGACACGTGCCTGACATTTGAAGTTACTTTCTCCCTGGGAGATCCGCTGATCCCCGAAGACACTACAAAAGTACTGAGCAGAGAGCTGTTAGAGGTAAAAACGAGGCCCACCAAGAGGAGGGGGTGCCTGGCAAATCTTTTATGCTTTGGGTTGGGACCCCAGAGGGATTCACCCCCAGGATACAAATGAACTGGAAATAGACCAGCACCCCAAGGGACTGCAAATCATCTCAGTCCTGAAACTAGTTTAAAACAATCCTGGTTTGCTAGATCCCAAGCCATCCACCAGATGTAAACATAATCCTCGAGATGATAGATAACTTCATCCTATGCCTCAGATTATTTCTGTATAGGTTTTCAGATGCAATGTGTGGCATTCAATCAAAAATCACCAAGTATTTGAGGAGACAAGGCAAAACCAACAAAAACCAAGATAAACAACAGACACTAGAAATAGACTCCAAGAGGTTCCATATTAGGAAGTTATTAAATTTTAAAATAACCATGTGCGGTATGCTCACATATCAAAAAGATAAGATAGAGAACTGGAAATTATTTTTTAATTGTTTTCTCTATTTTCATCCCATCAATTTCATTCTTAACATGCAGGGCGCCACAGTTCCCTGCATAGGGCAACAGATGAGAAACAAGCCCAAAAAGCTTTGGGAAAAGCCAAAAAAAAAAAAAAAAAAAGCAGTTGTGCCTCATTCAAGGATGCCTGCTTGGAGGGTGCTTGCAACAGTGACCATAGGTTGTGTACCCACCATCCTAATTTCTAGTAGTAGATCTGTTGCTGGCTTGTAAGATGCAATTCAACATAAACACCCCCTGAAACTCAGCAGACTACAATCTTAAAGGGCTTTGCACCTCTGAACAGGGACCCGTCTCTCTCCTCCTTTGTACCTGCCAAGACCCAGCTCGGCCCATGGCCCAGAGCGGTCACGGCCAAAAAAAAAAAAAAAGCAGCATCTCAGCATTTGTTTTGTGCCAGGCTCCTGCCAAGAGTTTTCCATGCAATGTCACATTTTTCATAGCCCTAGGAGGTGGTCATGACTATTTTCTCCGATTTAGAAGTGGAGACACTGAGGTCTAGGGAACACAGAGAACATGTTCAAAGGGTCCTAGCTACCAAGCATTAAAGCCAGGATGTGCAGCCAGGTCTGCCTGCTCCCAGAGTGGGTCCCACTCCCCATCTGCTGATTGCTGGGGTAATCCTGGATGTCTACAGTCAGAGGAAGTCTTGGATTTTCCTCTCCAAAAAACCTCATTAAACACCAACTGCATAGAGGGCCCTAGCCTGAGCTGGTGTCAGACATCCAAGGCCAAGGCTTAGGAAGTGATAACACTTTAATGGATCTGAGGTTTTGTCCATCTCTTCTCTCTCCTTCTCCTTTTCCCTGTTTCTGGGACTCAGCATCCAGCATGCAGAGAAGACACAGGATGGACTAGGCCTCATGCATAGGATAGAAAGAGTAATGGCCACAGTACAAAATCCAGTTGTGGCCACCAGGTCTCTCCTGGGAAAGCTGGGTGGGGGTTGTCAAAGAGGCTACCTTCTGGGGAGCTGGGGGTGACCCCCCCCCCCACTCTGGCCTGTGTCCCAGGTCCCTTCCTAGGGAGACAGTGCTCAGAGAGGAGCTGCAGGACAAAGCACTATTTCCAACCCAGGGTGCAGGCAAGGGGCTCAACCTTCAGACAGGCCTCCCTCAACCCAGAAATGGTTGAGGGTGGCCAGAAATCCAGGCCAGGGCCTGTGGAGGGTCCAGGTGTCTGGGCAGTGGAGGGCTCGAGGGCCATGAGGCAGAGAGCCCTAGCGTCCCCTGGCCTGCTTGATGGCTTTACCTGATTAGCTTAGTTGGGCAGGAGGGGTCCCTGGGTGCCAGCAAGGTAGTGGGATAAGGTAGAAAGGGGACAAAGCAGGGAAAAAGGTTTCCCTGGCAGGGAGGATGTAAGGGCTGGGGCAGAGTGGAGTTGGATAGGCGGGCAGGTCAGATGATGAAAAGGGGCAGGAGCTTGGTAAGGAGCGGGGGGAGGTGTGGCAGGGGATGGGACAGATGGTGACAGAATGGGGTTGGGCAGGGCCTCTGTCTCACCCACGGGGCTGAGGAAGGGGTTCCAATAGATGGAGAACAGGCTCCCGCTGGTGCTAATATGTTGCAGCGAGGAGGATAAGGGATCGATATCTGGAAGAATCTATTGGCTCCTGTAGCCCAACAAAAGTTAAATGTGCTTCTGAGAATGAAAAAAGGGGTTCATGAGCAGCAAGGAGAGGGGGAAGAAATAGGCAAAATGGGGTCAGGTAACTGGAGTTGAAGGACAATCCAGGCCTGATGCCAGTCTGGGCTCTGAGCAAGGGCAACAGAAGTCCTCTGGTCCAGGGCAAATCAAAGGAGGAGGAAGGCAGGCAGCCCCAGGCATCACCTTGCAGCCAGCAAATACCCCTGTTATGGATTAAGAACCAAAGGTGAGGGAGAAGGTGGGGAAGGCAGGGCTCAGGCTGAGTGGGCCAGATCCAACACTCAGGCCCCACCAAGTCCCAGAACTTTCCTGCCCTCCTGGGCCCTAGAGACCCCAGATCCCAAACCCATCCCTTCCCTTCCTATGCCCCACTCCCGGCACCAAGGAACGAAGCAGGTGGGGAAACTTACCCACTGGGGCCCTACAGCTTCAGGGAGGTGACCCGGGGGATGTGGAAGAGCTGAGTCTCCTCCGAGCTGGTGGAACTGTGATGTCGCAAAAAGAAAGTGAGTGAGCCCCCAGACACAGACCCTCAGCCCCGACACAGGGACAAGCCCAGAGCCCGATTTTCCCACCGTAGAAGCTCTCCAGGGGTAGGAAGAGTTCCAAAAAGCTGTGCCTGGAGGGGATGTGTTGCAACAAGCAGGTTATGGGGCAGACATACGAAAGAACTTCCTGGCCCTGGAGTTGCTCAGAGCGTGTGACTCTTCAGAGCTAGGCATGAGCCTCCTCTGCCGGGGAGGCCTCTGGAGGGAGTGTGGCAGGGGATCAGTACCCAGCGACTAGAAGGACTCCTTCCTGGACCCCAGCTGTCCCCCTCAGTCCTGGCAGCCTCTTCACCTGAGGCGTTTCCAAATGGGATGAAAGTATTTGGAGGTCTTGACAGCAAAGATGATGCTGGGGATCAGGAAGAAGGTGCACCATGCCAGGCAGAACCAGAAGGCGTTCTAGAACAGAGGGTGTGAGGTCAGCTCGCTGTGGCTAGGCAGTGACTTCTTCCCAGCCCCAGTCTTCCCACTGAGTCAGCGAGGGGCACGGGGAAGCATTCTTGGGGCTGAGGGGAAGGTCTGGTGTACAGGCCTGGAGGAAGTCCACGAGCCCTGAGGAGCTGGAGGCACTCACCCAGGGGTCGGCCATCATGTCACACAGGACCACACGGCCATTGTCCAGGGCTCCGGAGAGAGGTTGGCAGGTGGCAATGTGCTGAGTCACCTGCAGTGTGGACACAAGGCAGGCACATGCAGAGACGCTCAGACGCACGGGTGCACACCCCACATTCGGAGAAAGAGGGTGCCAGGGACACAGAGAGGTCTGGGGACACAGTCGGGGGAGCCACTGCACAGCTGTACGCAGACACGTGGACGCAGGGACACAGAGACGAAGACACACCGACACAGGCTCATCGCTCTGCTGCTGCCTCTTCCATCCCATTTGCCAGCCTGGATTAAGCCCCTACTGTGTGCCCAGGACTGTTCTTTAAGTTCACACCCTTGGTGGAGAGGCCCCACGGGTGGTGTGCACGCACATGCCTATGCCCCCCATACACATGCACACGCACACGCACACTCGGGGTTCAGCAAGACCACACCCGCCCAGTGTGCGTGCCAGACAGCTTGCAGAGGCCGTGGTCAGCACAGGCCTGCAGGAGGCGGTGCGCTTGGAGAGCTGGGCAAAGGGTCCGCATGAGGAAGGGCACAGGGGCAAGGTTCTAGAGAGCCACGGCTGGCCCAGCTCACACTCAGGCCTCAGAGAAGGGCTGTGGCAGAGGCTGAGTGCACAGAGCCCCACCAGGAAGCAGGGGTGCAGATGCCAGACGCAGAGTTTGGGTTCAATGCTGAAGGCCTAGGGCACCCCCAGGGGCTTTAGGGGACAGAGGAGGGATGCAAGAGTGTGGAAAGCCGATGCCGCCAGGAGCCTGCTTGAGGCCGGGAGGGCCTGGACCCCCACTCACCTCCTCTCTTACCCAGGCCACGTACTGGGAGAAGTAACCCACCTCCCGGGTCAGGAAACACTCACTTTCCTGCAGGAGAGAGAGGAGCCCACGGCTGGTAGGTGTTCCAGGAACCAGCCCCCACCGCCCCCCATGCCCGGCACCAGCAGGACAGGCCGAGCTGGCTTTCCTGGGAGCCACAGTGAGGGGACAGGGTGGAGGAGAAGCCTGGGTGGACGCTCCATGTGCTTTAGCACCTCAGTCCATCTCTGACTATGTGGCAGCCCCCCTGCCCCTGTCCCATGTCCCACTCACATTCCTCAAGATACTGGTGGCCCAGGTAGGCAGCTCTCCTTTTAGGTAAGCGACCTTGTCCAAGACACCAGAGGTCTCCATCTGGGGGAAAGGAGAAAGGCTTGATTCAGCGCCCTGCTCAGTCAGGAGCAGCCATGCATTCACTCACCCATTCCTTAATTCAACATCTCACGCACACATACTCACCTTGGGTTGGGGGTGTTAGGCCCTAAGACACAGAGGCCAAAGACAGTGGTCTTTAAGGATCTGCCCACCCACCCCCATTTCTTCCCACCCCCTATCCTCAACCTCCAGGGGGACTCAGCAGAGCAGATGAGATCCCAAGCCAGCAGGGCCCTTCCTTTTCCCTCTCTTGCCCACCTGCTCCAACCGACCCTCCCCATCCCCAGCAGCCACCTGGAGATTCAGGGCTGAGGATGCCAGGGCCCTGACAGTGAGGTTGAGATTGGCCTGTGGAGGAGAGAGCAGGGCTGGTTAAGGGAAGGGATGCATAGAGAAAAAAGTTTCCCGCCCCTCCCTCCTCTTTTAGCCCTCCCTGCCTCTCCTCTTCCCCGGGTTCCAGGCTCCCTGGGCCTCCAAACTTACCACAAGGCTCTGCTGGGGGAGGACCTTCTCCTGATAGAGGTTTTTGAGCCCTTGGGCCTCCTCCTGCAGCTGCTTCCCCAGCACAGAACTGCCCTGAGGGGAGACAGAGATGAGAATGGTACTCTGCCAGGGACAGGACAGCCTCTGCCAACATATGCTTTACCCAATTGTTCAGTCAGACATACTGAGAAGATGTGGAAAGTGCTGGGCTCAGAGGCAGAAAACCGAGGCCTCCTTAAGCTCCTGGGCCTGATCCAGGTTTGGAGGCACTGAGCCCAAGTTCTAGGTCTACCACTAGCTTACTAGGTGCCTCTACGCCAGCCACACTGAGTTTGTCTGAGGTGCAGTGGTATCTCCTAAAACAGGAATACTCCTCATTCTACCCACCTGAGTGCTTAGTGTGGAGTCATGTCTCAAAGAGCACTTTTTAAGCTCTAAATATTTATAAATACAAAATGCTATTTTTTTCCAGTAGTTTAAGCTTCTTGAGGATAACTGTCATGACATCTAGTCCATAGCACTGTCCTCACACCTGCCCCAACAGACTCCATGAGCAGTGTGCACTTAGAAATGCTTGCCCCACATTATGACGTCAGACTAGTCACTTCACCTGATCTGAGGTGGAGGATAATCCACTTTACAGATGAAGAAACCGAGGCCCAGAGATGCTGAATGACCTGCCCATGGCCACACAGCCCATTGGAGGTAGAGCTTAAGTCAGAATTGATACTGTAAAACTCTGAAGCCCGCCCCAGGGACCCAGAGCCTCAGCGCTCACTGGTGGGAACCTCATAATCCCCTGCCTTTGTCTTCGTGTCCCTCCCCAGTCTAAGCCGTCCCACCCTCTCCCACCTCCCAGGCCTCTCTCTGAGTCCTGCCTGCCCAGTGGGGTCTCTGGCCCCTTCTCACTTGGGTCCGGGCCAATTCTTCCAGCTCCTGGGCCAGCTTCTCCATGTTGGTGTTCACCACGGGCTTCTGGATCTGGAGACAGACAGGAGAGGCCAACAGGGAATACACGCTGGCTCCCCCAGCCCTCAAATTCCCAATCTATTCAGAAGTACCCCGCACCAGCTAAGTCTATCGTGACACACGGCTCACAGTGGGTTTGACCTGAAACTGTGAAATAGATCAGGAATTTTCTATTAGGATAGAAAAACAAACAAACAATGAGACGCCTTTTGTGTAACCCAATGAGGAGACCACCTCCCACCAGCATTCGCCACAGCAGTGGGTTCAGGACCATGAACAGCGACACGTGCTGTTGGGTGGGAGCCCGTTCATTCCTGCCCAGCCCAGATGGGGGCACCGGGACAGGCAGGAGGCGCATGGTGTGCAGACACCCCCAACAGGAAGAGACCCCCCCCCGGGACATGTAGAAAAGTGGAGGGAATGGGGAGGGCTGTGATGACATAACATACCACCCCTCGGCCCAGCTCCTCTGCAAGCCCCTCTGTCTGCCATGGTCTGGCCTGAGGTGCTCCCTGCTGACCTGAACGAGGAAGCCGGAATAGTGGATTTTCTCAAGCCCACTGCTCTGCAGGGCTTCCAGGTCCCGGTGGGCGGCTGGGCTCAGCAGGTCCAGATTCTTCATGTCTACTTTGAGGTTCCGCAACTCCTGCTGCAGCTTGGCAGTGTACTGAGCGGGGGCAGGGGGCCAGGGTGAGGGCATGCCCAGTTGCTGAGCCAGGACCCCAGAGCTGCTCTCCTAGGTGAGGAGTCACCAGGCCCTCAGGGCCCTCCTTCTGCATATCCAGGACCCCCACCTTGGAAACTTCCAGCCCCAGACAGTTTCCCAGGAGGTCTCTGCTTCTCACCTGCCCCCACTCCAACCCAGCCCCACCAAGACCTAGCTCTCCACCAGCACCTTTCTGGCTAGTGGACAGCAACACAGACCTTCCCTGGCCACTCACTATAAAAGAGCTTCCCTGGCCCACCCTTACGGCTGTGGGAGCTCAGCGGAGGGCCTCTGGTGAGCCCTCCTCCAGGGACTCCCAACATCCTCACCATTGCTTTCACTGTCACACCCCATCCCCAACCACCCCACCACCGACCACAGCATTCCAACCAATGCCTGTCCTCAGTAAGGACACGCACACCCTAGCCCTGTCACTCACGGTCACCAGCCCTTCCTGCTACAGCCTCAACTGTGTTCAGGTCTTCTTGGAGCAGTGCTGGGAGCTGTGCCTCCAGGCGTTCATCCATCCTCCCACACACCCTAGAAACCATCCTGGGCTCCCGCCCTGGGCCAGGCCCTGAGCTTGCACCTGAGGCCTCTGCCCCCTGAGGTACCTCCATCACTCTTGCAGACTTCTCGGGGTCAATAAGATGGTCCCACCACAGAGGCAAGGCCAGAGGAGGGGGGCTCTGCAGGAGGGATCTCCACAGCCTTCCAGAAGTTTCCCTTACCTGGCTGATATTCAGGTGCTTCTCCAGATCATAGGAGTCATTGAGCTGCAGGATGCTCCAGAGCGCGGCCCCTTCCCTGCATTGCCTGGGGAGGAATAATGGACTTCGAAGATGGGAGAGAAGGACAGCAGGTGGGGGCTGACATCCGCTACCTCAGCTCCTCCCCACACCCCGTCCCCCAGCAGAGGCTTCCCACTCACTGATAGGCCAGGAGGATGCTGATGTTCTTCTTCAGGCCAAGAAGCTGAGACAAGTTCATGGATGGGGGCAAGTTCCCTGGGGTGTCTGCAAACTGGAAATGGGGCAAAGAGAAAAGGGCCCTGAGCAGGCTGAGGGCAAGGCCACCCCCGGTTCCCCTAGAGCCTGGTCCCCTCCCCCTCCCTCTGGGCCCTAGAGCAGGGCAGGCAGGGTCACCTTGTAGAGCTCTTTGCTCTCCCAGCTCTGACACACTAGAGTCTGCACATTGCCGCCCACCAGGAAGGTGGCAAAGACAAGGAGGATGAGGGGTGCAGCGAAGAGGAAGCTGAAGCCCACACCTCTGGGGAAGGCAGAGGGATGGGGTTGAGGTCGGAGACAGGAGGCTGGCTACCCTGGACCACACACCCTCTGTCCCACCACATGGGGGGGCGCGGCCAGTATGGTCAGCGAGTCAGCCCCAGGGCAGAGCCCTTTGAGGACTCAGCCTCCTAAGGCCAGGAGGGAGAAGTCAGAACGGCTGGCTGCCCCCCCCCGTCCCCTGCCCCCCACTCCCACCTATCACTGACGCCCTGACTGGCCCCCTCCCCCGCCCCCCACTCCCACCTATCACTGACACCCTGGCTGGCCCCCTCCCCGCCCCCCACTCCCACCTATCACTGACACCCTGGCTGGCCCCCTCCCCGCCCCCCACTCCCACCTATCACTGACACCTGGCTGGCCCCCTCCCCCGCCCCCCACTCCCACCTATCACTGATGCCCTGGCTGGCCCCCTCCCCCGCCCCCCACTCCCACCTATCACTGACGCCCTGGCTGGCCCCCTCCCCGCCCCCCACTCCCACCTATCACTGACACCTGGCTGGCCCCCTCCCCCACCCCCCACTCCCACCTATCACTGATGCCCTGGCTGGCCCCCTCCCCCACCCCCCACTCCCACCTATCACTGATGCCCTGGCTGGCCCCCTCCCCCGCCCTCCACTCCCACCTATCACTGATGCCCTGGCTGGCCCTGGCAGCCTACAGGAGAGAGTAGCTGCTTTGCTCGAAGACACAGGACAGCCTGCCTTTGAGCCGAGGGCACATGGAGATGACCGGCTCCAGAGCTCAGCCCTCAACAGAGCCCCCTGGCGCAGTAGGGGCCGCAACTTAGAGGGGCTGAATGGGACCAGTGCTGCTGACCTGTAGGGCTCCTCTGTGGGACAGGCACAGCCCCAAGCCAGGGTTTGAGGCTTGGAGAATAGAACAAGGACTAGATTTCAGCCTCCACTCACCCCTTTGTTCAGGCACCATTATGCACAACTGAATGTGGCGTCCCCGGCCTTAGAAAACATCTAGTCCAGAGATGGCAAACAGATTCTACCTCTGGTGCCATCCCCTGTTGGTAGTGCTATCTAGATGCTAGGTTAAGAAGGATTCTGAGGCTACGTCCGGCTCAGTGGGAAAGAGTGCCCATCAGTTACTATAATTGCCACTGGTATGGAGGGGGGAGGTGCTTCTTATTTGCCATTCCTGCTCTAGTCCAACCCTTTTACACAGATGAGGACGTGGAGGCCCAGATGGGTTAGTAATTGGCCCAGAGTCACCCAGTGAGTCAGTGCCAGAGCCAGAAGCAGAGCTCAGCCTCTTGATTCTCAGGACTTGCTCCTGTAGCCACACTAGGAGCTGTCCATGGGCATGAGAGGAATCCGGCCGGCCCGGTGGGAGAGACCCTTCTCCTGCCCCCAGCCCATCTTACATCAGGAGGAAGCGGGCTCCAGCCTCGCCCTTGGCTTCTGAGCGGCTGGGGTCCTCCCTGGCAGACAGTCCCCAGATGCCCAGGTTGAGGCCCAACAGGTTACAGACCACCACAAGCAGGACTGCGGAGCACAACACGCAGCCCAAAATCCACCTGCCACAGAGAGGGTGCAGTGTCACCAAGAAGGGAGACACCAGGATGGGCTGGCATAGGACCTATGGCTAGGTGGGGGCCCACTGCTCCCCCGTTGCCTCCCCAGGCTCAGGTCCCAAGGGTACATAGCCAAGGTGGAGACGGAGGCCCAAGGAGTAAGGGGTCTTGGCTGAAATGGAGGCAGATGCTCAATATAGCCAGGGGTTGATGAGGGCTGGAAATCGGGGCCCAGCGTGCCTGAGAGGCTGGGCTGCCTATCCCATCCCCAAGCCCATGGGTTCCCGAGCACCTGTATTTCTCGTATCTCTGCACCTCCTTCAGGTAGGGGCGGCTACTCTGTTCCACCTCCTTCAGCGCCCGGCTCCAGCGAGAGGCTGCCTCCCAGCCTGGGAACTTTTCCGCCAGTGTCTTCAGCCCTTCAGGCTTCTGGGCCACCACCTTCTTCACCTCTGCCCCAAGCAGCAGAGACTCATGGGAGGGGGAAGTCTCCCAGAAGCCCAGGGAGGAGACGGATGGGCCAGAAGAAGTTCTGGGACCCCCAGAGAGGGCCCACTAAAGAGACCAGGCCCAGATGGAGGACAGCCTGCACCCTCCCCCCATCGCCCCTACTGCCCCACCCCCTCTCCATGAGCCTCTCTGGTGGGAGCAGCATGCTCAGCAGCCAACCCGGCCCCTGGACAGGGCCTCACCTTTGACCACGTTGGCCGTCTGCAAGGCCACCAGGAGTGGGAGGGCATTGAAGGTGCTGTTCTCCTGCCGGAACAAAAGGCAGCTGTGCGTCCTGCTTCGCACCCATGGTCCCAGCTTGAGGGGCCCCTGACAGCACCAGGCCCGGCGGGGAGGGCATCCCACTCAGCGCTCCCAGCTCAGGAAATCAGGAAACAGGCCTCCCTTTGTTCTCTTGGTCGATGGCCTCTTCTCTGCTCCCTCAGCCCAGCCTGACTCGGCTCCCCAAAACATTGCTCCTGGAAGACCCCTCCTTTCTCTCCCCACCCCTCTCGCCGAGACTGTGGCAGCCTCTGACCATCCTCTTCTCTTTCATCCATCCTGCGTATGACGCCAGGCCTCGCTCCCTAAAGTCCAGCTCCAACCTACTCCTTCAGCCTCAGCTGCTGTTCCCTTCCTCCTGGGACCTTCAGCTCCAGCCACCCAGGACAGGTGACTCACCATTTCCCCAACTCTGGAATTTTCCAGGCCCTGGGTCACAGGTACTGACTCATGGGCACCCTCCCCCACAGCCCAGCTGCCCCGAGGGCTGCACCTTCAGGGCTCGGCTTGTGTCCTGGCTCCCTGGCCACCCCAGCCCCCACCACCTCAAGGGGCCCAGCTCTTCCTTCTGAGTTCCAGGCCTGCCTCCCCCACCAGACTGCGTGCACTCGAGAACCAGCATCATGAGCCTCTAGCCCAGGGAGCCCTGTGGTAGGGAAGGCCCTGATTTGACCCAAGTCTTAGGTTCAACTGGGTTCCCACCCCCAAAGGGAGAAGATGAGGCCCCCTCACTTGTGAGCTGCCAGGTGGCGGGGAAGTCAGGTAGAATGGGCATGCACTCACCTCCTGGACCATACTGGAGAAGTTGGCCTCTGGGACACCCTTCAGCCGATGCAGGACATCGTCCACAGGGGATACCTAAAATGGGGGCAGTGGTATGACAAAGTCCATGGAGAGGCCTAAGGGGGAACCCTGAGGGAGGATGGGAGGAACCCTCATTGTCCTCACATGCAAAACGGGGCCCACCTCCCGAGGTGGCAAGGAGAACTCAAGGAGCTAAGATACAGGAAGCCCACAGCACAGCACGTGGCCCAGGAAAGCTCTCGCCAGGCTGCCGGATGACTAGCATTAACCCTTGCTGTGTGGAGAGGGGAGGAGCTGTTCGAGGGAAGGGAGCTGGAATCTGCCTCAGGAAACACCCAGGACTCCCGGGGCGGCGGGCAGAGCAGCCCCCTTCCCTTTGGGGGGCCCTCACCTGGTGGAAGTCAGCTCCCAGCTCCAGGGCACGGGCTCGGCTCTGGGCCTCGGTGCAGCCCTGGCAGCCGGACTCCTGCAGCAGGGCGAGGAGGCGCTCGCGGTGCTCCCGGACGGCTGGCTCCAGGTCCTGCTGTCCCTTCCGCAGCTCCACCAACGTAGTGTTTAGGGCTTGCAGGTGATCCAAAGAGACCTGCAGGGCTGAGAGACCCCCTTCTGGACCTGGCAATCTCAGAGGCCTTGTGGGAGATAGAACACCTCCCCCTCCCCCCAACCCAAGGGATGCGGGTCATGAACCTCCGTAGGTTCATAATGGTGACTGCCCTAGGGCATGTTAAGCCAGGTTGGGGATCCTAGGATAAAGCCACGAGCAAGTCAGGGGAGGGGCTCGCTGAGGCAGCATAAGAAATCCCGGGCTGGGTGAAGGTGGGGCCTGCCCCCATGCGACGCCCACCCAGGACACTGGGCCCACTCACCCTGGCCCAGGCTGCTCACTGAGGCCAGCACTTCATACACGGTGCTCTTGAGCTGCGTGTGGATGGTGCTCCCAATGCTCATGCCGACACCTGGAGAGCACAGGGTGGTCTGCAGGGCCGGCCCCCAGGGGCCTAGGGGCCTTCTTCACCCATCCAGCCAGCCTCCCCAGGCCCTTCACTGGTCCTGCAGCAACAGGGACTACTGTGCTCCCCGGCTGGGCCCCGTCCCTGCCTCTTCAAGGGTGCGCCCAGGGGGAGCCCAGGATAAGGGGATGAGAGGGGTCTCCCAAGGCCGGCCAGAGCAGGGGGATCCGGGGGCCGGCCAGTCTGTCAGCCGGCTGCATCGCTCACCATCCAGTTCCTCCAAGACTCGCTTCTGAGGAAGGGAGAACTGCTGTGCCACGGCCTGCAGCTCCTAGGCAGACAGCGTCAGGAGGCTGCTCTCCCCTGCCACCCGACAGCCCCCTCTCGTCCCTTCCCCAGCTCTCTCCCGGGACGCCACGCGCAGCTGGGTGGTCATCCTAAAGATGCCCTGGGTGCATTTATGTATTACAGCAACTCTCCAGCAGGAGGCAGTCAGGCGTGCGTTGAAGGGGGAACCCTTTCTAACTCGCAGGTCCTGCCCTCTTCTGTCCTGCCTGGGGCTGGTGCTCACGCAGGCTCACGGGGGGGTGAGGGGTTGCTCGCCACTTACCTGGGGGACATCGGAGACCAGGCCCCGGAGGCTGAGCAGAATCTCAGGCACGGCCTCAACACTGCGGCCCACCTGCTCATGTGTGTGCTGGCTGGTGACAAGGGCGCAGATCACACCAATCCTGCAGGGACGCGGAGGAGGCAGGGGCTTGCTGGACGCCCACGGGCACCGCGGGCCTCAGCCCCCGCCTCCCGCCTGGCCTGAGCGCCCCTCACAGTAGCACGAGGGTGGTGAGCAGCAGGAAGGCCGCGAGGGTGCCTCGCTCCCAGGCGACGGCCTTGTGCTCCGTCTTCACTCGGCCCCCGCAGCGCCGGCAGCAGCGGCAGCAACAGAAACACAGCCCGGCGATGGGCACCGCCAGCAGGTAGAGGCCAGCGATCACAGCACACACCACGTAGCCGGCCTCATACCGCACCACCTGGGCGAGGCAGCAGGCGTGAGGGGCCGTCCTGACCTCGCACGGCCTCCTGCTGGCGCCACAGGGGAACCAGAAGGGGAGGGAATGCATACACGGCGGGCACCTCGCACACATCTCCCTGAACCCACGCAAGGTGCACGGGGTCCTTGTTGTTATTTACCAGCCTGTAAACGAGGAAGCCGAAGTCCACGTTTGCTCCCTGCAAAACCCCGGGGCCAGTTAATGGCAGAGCTGTAGTCTGAAATCAGGTCTGCCAAGTGCAGCGCTGATGGAAGGGGGGAAGGGATGGCCGGGACCCCACGATGGGGGAGCTGAGCTGAGGAGGCCTTTCTACTTCGCCCCTCATGCTCACCCTTGAACTCCCCCTCACCCCCCGGCACCGCCCCAAGGACTCACCTCATCCACCTTCACGGAGGCAGGCTCATTCAGCAAGGTCTTTACCAGCTCTAGGGAAAGAGTCAGGCCAGGGAGGGGGGGTGTTGAGGACAGCACCTGCCTGCCCCTGTGTGCACCCCCACTGCCCGGGGCGGGGGAGGAGGGAATCTCTGGAAGGGCTCCTCCCACCACCATGGCACCCTCCGAGAAGCCCTGTGCCATCATGCCCAGGCCTCAGTGCCACCACAGGAGGGAGAGGCTGAGAGGAGGCCTGGCCCACCCCTCCTCCTGGACCCTACAGCGAGGCCCTGCACTGGAGAAGCCGCCTGCCTGGTTAGAAGCAGAGAAGAGGCCTGGCCCAGCAGCCCTTTCCCTCAAGAGGCAGGGGACAGGCTGGGAGGGACAGGGCTGTAGCCCCTCCTGGCCCTCCCAACCCCTAGCACCACTAGACCCAGGGAAAAATCTCAGCCTGGTCTTTGAGAACTTCTAATGTAAGTTCTTCCACTTGAGGGCAGAGAAACTGAGGTTCAGAGAGGAAAAAGAGCTTGCCCAAGGTCACGCAGGAAGGTCTCTCCAGGTGATGCCCCTGGGCCCAGGGGGCTTCTGGGAAGGAAGCCGGGGTGGGGGGTGGGGAAGGCCGGGGACCCTGCCCTCCGGATGCCTGCTGACAGGGCGGGGGAGCCCCGCCGCGGAGTGGGGACCCCCTAGCTCCGAGGCCCACCCCAGGGAGGGGCGCACTCACCGGCGGGGAAGGGGTTGAGCTGCACCACGGAGAGGAAGCGGCGCACCGTGCCGTACAGGGGGCTCAGGGCTCCCCGCGGGCGGACGCGAGGGGCCAGCCAATGGCCCCTGGCCGCCGGGGCGAACGCCAGGCGCTCTGCGCCGCCAAGGGACACGCAGTCCGCGGCCCCCGCCCCCGGCGGGCTCAGCCCCAGCCCCAGCCCCAGCCCCAGCAGGGGCGCCAGGAGGCCGGGCGCGCGCGTCATGGGGTGGGCCGGAGGGCTGCGGGGCAGGCCGGACGGGGCTCAGGCGGCCGGGGGTGCGGACAGAGCGCGGGGCAGGCCGGGCATCCTTCACCAGCCTGCGTCCCCGCGGCTCTCAAAACCGGCCCGACAGGTTTGGGCTCCTGAGCTACCTGGGCGCCCGCCCGCGGTGCTGGAAGGGCAGGGGCGGAGGCCTGGGGTAAGGGGGCAGGGCCTGGCGGGGACCCGCCTTCAGCGGCCTGGGGTGCGAGTCCGGGCTTCCTCTCCCCTCCCCAGATCCTCCTGGGAGGGCCGCCTCCGAGCTGGGTAGGGGAGACACCTCAGTGGCTCTGGATTGTTTAGGTGGCCCAATTTCAAATATTGTATTCCATACCCAGACCCACCAGCCCAATGTGCGGCTGGGAAAACAGCCACCCAGTGCAGCCCTGGCCCAAGGGGTGGCAGGCGGCACAGACCCAGGAACCAGGCTCCTCCACCAGCTTCCCCTGAGGCCCGTTCTGTCCCTCGGGTCCTGCCTGCACCTGTCGCCGATCCAATCTGGAGCAGAGAGGCCACCAGGCTTTGCCCAGAGTGGCTCTCAGAAAAGCCCCTGGGACAGGCACAATCCTTTGGGAGGGCGAGTGCCTGCAAAGGTGTGCCCTTTGGCCCAGCAATGCCCCATCCAGTCATCAGCTGAAGGAAATAATCAAGGATAGGGCCAGAGATGTGTCTACACAGGTCTCTGCTTTGTCAATGGCTGTGTGCCCGACACCCAGAGGGTGCCTGAAGCTGAACAGGTTGTGAGGAAATATTGCTAAACGGTTGGGGGATGTTTCTGGCAGCATGATTCATGATACAAAACTATCCTGAGGGCCACCACTACCAAGGAAATGGTGAAATGAGCATTTCACAGGACACACAGGGCGGTCAGTAAAGAAAATGATGTGGAAATGGCTCTTTTGACTTGAAAGATACAATGCTTTAAGGGCCAACAGCTGCTTACGGCACAGCACGTGGACTGAAGGTATAAAATACTGACCGTCTCTGGGTAGAATCGTGGCCATTTTCAATGCTTCCCTGCTCACCTGTACTTGCTAATTTCTGTGAAATAAACGTGTGTTACTTGTGTTCACAGAAGTAGCAGAAGTTTGTGAGTTTCCATGGCAGCTCCATTCTCCCGCGGGAGCCCTGGAGGGAGGGGCTGGATCTGTGAACCCCGAGGCTCTGCCCCGGGTTGGCAGGGGTGAGGGAGGGGCACCGGGATTCCGGGCTGCTCATGGGGGGTGGGGTGAGCCATAAAGAAGTAACTTGAATTTGAGTAAAGGCTGAGCCTGCGGCAGAATCCTTACCCTTCCTATGGCTGCCCTCAAAGGTCCTTCTGAGCCGGGACAAGAGCACAGTGAGAGAAGGAATAACCCAGTTAATAACGGGGTGCAGACAGGAAACAGAACCTCATCAAAGGGTGACTCAGAGATGAGGATCAGGGCTGCAATGAGGAATGGGCTGGGGGTGCTGGCTCCTCGGGTCCAGAGAGGGTCCAGGACCAGCACTGCCCCTGGAGGCCCAACCCCAGACCGTGGAAGGGGGCCCCTGACCACTCTGCCCCAAGAATATGCAGCACAGCTAAAGGCAGGCTGTGCCCACCCCTCACTCTCCCCCTTCCATTGCCCAGATCCCAGTACCTGCGCTAAGGACACCATGGCGCCTGGAAGCTGCCAAGGGGAAGGGCTGGCCTCTCAGCTCTCCCTCCTATAGCCTGAGCTGTTAGGAAGAACTACCCCTCCCCCGGTGAGCACTGCCTAACGTCAGTCCTGCCCCAGAAATAGCCCTTTCCTAGCTTGCTGTAATCCACCTGTGGTGCAGTATAGTCCACTTCGGGTTTTTTGGTATTCCCTGACTCAGCGAGGTGGCAGGGGAGCTTAGGCCTCAGTTTCCCAGGAGGTGGGAAACGCTTGAGGCTGTGGGAAAGGAGCAGCCCTGCCCCCACCCCGTGCAGCCTCCCACTCTTTCTCTCTTCCCGACTATTGTAATTAAGCCATGAGTTGCTACTGCTATTGTTTTCATAAGTGTCTATAATAAAAGCACTGTACTTTGAAGGTAAGATTTCCCCAAGAAGAAACAAAACATACCAAGCTCTTTTTTTGCCTGAAGGGGCAGGAGGGTCGATAAAGACACTGAATTTGCCTGTTTGACAGGTGGACAAAGTGAGGTTCCGGAGGAGAGACTTTCCCGAGTCAGCGAGGAGGCCAGGAATCTCCTTCCTGAGCAGGATCCTCATGGAACAATCTATCATCACACCAGCTGGTCAGCCCCAGACTTGTCCCCCTCCCCCAGCCCCACCTGGCCAGCCCTGGGCACCAGGCAGGTGCCATGAACCTGCTGCTATAATTGGATTCCTTGGAGGCAGGGCAGCAGAGCAAGTGGCTGTGTTGGGACTGGGTGGGCTGGGCCGGTTCGGCAGCAGGGATGCTGGGCTTCTGGAAGGGTGGAAAGGGGTTCAAGGGTCATCCTGTTCCATCCCCTCCTTTTAGTCACACCTTTCTGCACAGCTGCATGTCCCCTTCTTCCTGCGACCCCCTGGGACCCTCTGCCCTCCATGGAAATTCTCTGGTTGATCTGGGATAGGCTGTCCCTGGTTACCTTGGGCCTATTTCCTGGGGCTACTTTCCCACTCCTGACTCACAGTTCTCAGAAGTTTGATGGTCCCCAAACCCCACAGTCCTGAGGTCAGTGTGGGGAGTATGGAGGGGGAGACGCGGGCAAGGAGAGGGGCTCTGCCCTTCAGAAAACAGGGTGGGAGGACACCAGGTGTGGCCGCCAGCCTCCTCAGGCGCCACCTGCTGGAAACAGAGGGGAGAGCATGCCTCGCCGGTCTCAAGGAAACATCAGGCGAGCAGGCTGATTCCCCTTCTTTCTGCCTCGTGTCCGTGCTGTGTCCCGGGAATGGGTTATAAACCAACCCAAGGGGACAGACAGTCAAGGCTGGAGCACAACATTTTCTTAGTCAACATTCTTCTAACGGCTGTTAAGCTGCTAAAGGATCTGAAAAGTGAGAATTTATTATAGAGAAACAGGGCATTTGAGGAGTCCACGCCCGGGAGGTGGCGCTGGGTCTCAGAGCCTGGAACAGGAAACCCATCGAGTGCCCACTGCTCTGTGTCAGATGGTCTGTCGGGGCTGAGGCCTCTCCCTACTGCGCATTGGCCAGGACCCTCTGCAGACCACCTCTCTGCATCCAACAGGACAGAGAGGGCTGTCCTGCCAATCGGAGTCTACCTGTTCTCCCAGGTCTAATGTCACCAGAGCCCACAGCACTGCGGGCCGCATTCTGAATCCTAGCGCCAAGAAACTCACAGTGCCAGTGTGAGGCGGTATCCCCCGGGCCACAGTGACAGGGTGGTGGCCGTGAGGACAGTCCTCTGAGCAGGAGGCAACATCCAGAAGATGGGGGCCACAGTCGTGGGAGCAGAACCTTGTTCTAAGAAGCCACCAAACACGTATGCCACCTAATGTGTATCATTCTGAAAGGCTTTTGGGTAAGAATTCCACGAGAATGGAAGAAGGTGTAACTTTGTGGGAATATTTTGGAGAATTTCCACCACCCCATACCCCAAGCCACAAAACCATCCCTGACCCTTCGTCCCTCGTTCTTGCATCCAGCTGCATCCTTCCAATGCCACCTCTTGAGCATTTCTCCAGAATGGATCGTTGAAAATGTAGATCAGACCATGTGACTCTTTGGCTTCAAACCCTCCAGTGGCTCCTTCTCCAGCCTCAGGATGAAAGTGAATTCCTTAATTTGTCTCCCCAAGCACCACCAGAGCCCTCAGCCCCCCTGGTGGTGCCCACAGGGCTCTGCTCTCATCTCATACCTGCTCTGTCCTGTCCCTGCCCACATGGTCCCCTGCTGTATCCCATCCTCTGCTTTCACCCCATTTTTGTTCATCCTTCAAGACTTGGCTCAACGGTCATCCTCTCTGGAGGCTCCCAGATCCCTCCCCCAGGTTCAGGTGGGGGTCCCTTGAGGCTGGTCCATATTTCCGGGTCATGAGTCTGCCTCTCCAACATAGAAGTTGTATTTTATTCACCCTCACGTCCCCCCCGACCCCTAGCCCCAAGCACAGAACTCGGCACACAAAGTATTCCCAATAAATGTTTCCTTAGACTAGAAAGCAGATTTCAAAACGTTTGAAAATAAAACATTCTCTCTCAGCTAGAGAGTCTGCAAATGAATGCGATTCAAGAATAGATGGGAGATGGGGCGCCTGGCCGGCTCAGTCAGTAGAGCTTGTGACTTTTGATCTCAGGGTCGTGAATTCAAGCCCCATGCTGGGCATGGAGCCTACTTAAAATAAAAATTAAAAAAGAGAGATGGTAGAGTCTCCAAGCTGAAATTCTGTGCATGCGGTGGTGAGTGAAGCAGGCAAGGAAGGGGTGGTGTGGGACGGGAAAGGGAGGAGGCTCTTTGGTGAGTGGCATGTCCCTGGGAACTTCTTCCTGAGCCTTGCCGAGCATTAAGGATGGGACGCAGCCCAAAGAGAGGCCACAGGAAGCACGTGGGGTCTTCAGCAAAGTGCTCTAGCGTCCCTGTGGTAACCACTGAGGCCAGGTGCAGCTTTCAACATGGCGGCCTGGGCACAGCCACAGGGGCGGCAGATATGTCGGGACAGGCAGCCTTGTCAGAAGCGGTCATAGTCAGGATGGCAGGGCCCCAGGCACATGGAGATGGCTGCGCTCTGGTCTACTAAAGGAAGCAGCCCGGTACTGAATAGATCATCCAGAGGATTCGGGTCAGATGAAGACTTCAGTCCTTCCAGCCCAGGCCCCCTGGGTAGGCTGTGCATTCTCTGCGTGGCCGGGCGAATCCCCTTGAGACCAGAGGGTCATCCTGTTCTCAAGACTTCTTGGTCTCTGTGTCAGTTAGGAGGATAGCATCTTCTGGCCTGAGCCAGACCTCTTCAAGGCTACCCAGTATCCTGTTCCTCATTACCCACAGCCTCCTGGGCTACCCCTTCTCTCCAAGGTCAAGGCCTAGGCCACAGGTGACACGGACATCTGCTCCCTCCTCCACCATGGCACTTATAGCCATGGCCCTTTGAGGAGAAGACAGAGTCTGGTTTGCAGAACCTTGGGGCGATGTGGAGCCTCGTGTGGTCCAGGAGCATCAGAGGGGCAGGCCATGCCCCCTCTAGAGCCTGACATAGAAAGCAAACGGACACATGTTGGAGATGAGCTGCTGGCCCTATTGTAAGATCTTCTGCAGTCCCGGCTCTTCCCGTCACCACATTCCCTGCGAGGGAGGGTTATTGACTTTCCTTCTTTGGAGGTGCCATGTGTCCATTTCTTCCTCCTGGTACTCATGACAGCACCGTTGACCAGACTCTCAGGAGCTCTGTCTGACCCCTGAGTCTCCTTGTGGGCATGTCCTGCCTGCCCAGATGCCCAGGAGCTCTATGGCAAATGCCTGAAGTAGAGAGAGCTTATACTGCAACTAGGAAAAAGTGGCTCCACCCTTTGTCCCCTTGAGATAGCTCTGGAAGGACATAGACTACGGCAGCAGAGGCTCATCATGACTGCAGGCCTGGAAGAGAGGAGCTCGGCCGGAAAGACAAGCCCACCCAACCACAACCAGGAGATTGCTCTGGGTCAGAATCTGTCCCTCTTGCTCAACACCGACTACACGAAACCAGGAGGCAAGGTGCGCGATCCCGATGATGGAATGAGGATTCGAAAGAATCTTGACCCACTGGAATGGCGGGCTCAAGCTTGCAGCATGAAATGGAAGCAGGAGAAATGTTATGGCCAATTCACAAACAGATTCTTAGATTCATAACTGTTTGTGGAGACAAAAAGACCATAATGGATCAGCTGACCACAAGTTAGCATGAGTCAATAATGAGGCCAGATACCTAAGATGCCTTTGTAATGCTAGATAGCCTGAGAGGTCAAAGGTCCCCCTGCAGAGGCCCAGTGGCATTGTCCTGTGCTTTTCAGCCCTGCTCTGGAGCTTGAATGCCCTCCCCAGATAGCCATGACCAGACGAGGCAGGGCCAGAGCACCAAGCCGTGAGAAGCCACCCGAGTCCAGGACAGGACCACCCAAAGGTCAGGAGAAGGGATAGGAAGGGCAGGGAAAAGCCCCCATTGGCTTCTGGGCTTTCATACTAAAAGGAGCCAAGGGACCTGGCCTGCCTGTCTCCTCCCACCGCTTCTCATCTGCATTCTCTGAACCTCCACAGACCTGGCCACCAAGACTGGGTCACGGCCACTGAAGGACGAGATGAGTCCAGACCCAACAGAGGGGCTCTGTTTCCCTTTCTCACGTAGCTGGTGCATTCCCCAGAATGAGGATGGGGCCGAATGTGTCCAGGATCCCCCTAGGCCATGGGAGACATAGGAACGCCTTGACACTCAGGAGGTCACAGGCACTCCTGCACGCCCCAGCAGGCCCCTCAGAATTATTCCCCCAGTAGCATTCCCCCAGGAGGCAGGACACTATCCACAGGAAGGAACTGGACAGTTGCTTTTCTGGGCCTCTTTGAAAGGGAAGGTCTTTGCTCTCCAGGTGACCTGCAATAAGGATGCTACCCTTACCCCCATTTCATTAGAGAAGGCCGAATCTCATGACAGGTGTCGTGTGGTGCATTTATCCAATGCACAAATACTGCTGTTTGAAACTCAGCTATCACAAAACATTAGGAGGGACTCCCCTAGGGGTGTGAATTACACACCAGTCTCTGCCCCTAAGACACAAGGAAGCATCATAAAACTGTGGGAGGGACTTCTGAAGGGCATACCTTGACCCTAAGAAAAGCCAGCTTTCGAGGAATGGGGACCATGGCAAAACTATTCATTCCCACAGGAGATCTTCTCTTCCTGTTAAACCTTCAGTTTGGAGAACAGGTTTTTGGGGGACTGTAAGGGAACTGTCATTTGAGACCAAATTTGCTGCTCAGCCAGTAAGAACAACAGGGCAAGAGCAGAGATGAAGACCTTCCACACCACGGGCAGTTGGGAGAGTCTTAATTCAGCTGCCCACAAAATCACCTGCAGATGCCCAGGCTGCACCCCACTAAATGTGACTCTCCAGGGGCAGGTTTCTGGTATTGGCAGATTTTGTGAGCTCCCCATGGGTTCTGATGGGCCAGGTGAACCAAAAGCAACTACCATGGGCAGACCCAGCCCCCCTCCAGGAAAGCAGTCCTTATCCTGAAGGGCAGGGGCACCCCCACTTCACACACTCCTCAAGTTTCCTGCGGGGGCATGGAATAGGGTGTCAGGATTCCATTCCTGCCTGTGGCCATCCCCACCCCCACCTTTCCCACCCACCACAGGCAGGTGCCTCTGTTCCAGGCTTTGTAGGACCAGATCAATAGAGGTCCGGGCGGGGTGGGAAAAGGGGCAGTATGCATGAGAAAGAGGTGTGTAGGGAGAGAGCTGGGTCTCTCGGCTGTTGGCTGTTCTCGGGGCATAAGGGGCAGGAAGCAGTGGGTCACAGGGAGAGAGCTGGGTCCCAGAAAGGCCCCAGAGGCACCTTTTGGGAAGCCTTCAGTTAGTTGTGAGTAGCTGGGATTTGGGGACTCACACCTGTCCCCAGAATGTTTGAAGATGTCGAGAACTCCCTGCCCAGGGTCTGGGCAGCCCCTGGGGTTCCCTGGGTCCCTAATGAGGCCCCAACAGAGCTCTTAGGGACAGGCTAACGAGCCGGCAGGAAAACAGAGGAGGTCAGTGACCAGAGCAGTGAGGTCCCCACCTTGCTCCAGCCGGTGCTTCCAATGTAGAGGACAGTGAGGGAAGATGACAATGGGGGCAGAGCTGTGGCACTGACATGCAGAGGGAGTCGAGCAGAGCCTCCGCAGGGAGAGAACATTGCAGCTGTGCCTTCGAAATGCACTGGCAAGGGGAGGAAGAAGTCCCAGTGAAGCAGCGAGAGAGCCCGCAGTGATGTGCAAACACACTGGGCAGCAGCGTGCTGCCTCCAGGGCGTCCATGTGGCTCGGTGCCTGCCACGTGCGGAGGGGACGGGAAGACCGCCTCCGAGGACAGGGGAACGTGGACTTCCAACCAGAGCGGAGAGCAGAGCAGTGCCTCAAACTGGGTCTCATTTCCTTTTTTTTTTTTTTTTTTTTTAAAGATTTTATTTATTTATTTGAGAGAGAGAATGAGATAGAGGGAGAGAGCATGAGGGGGGGAGGGTCAGAGGGAGAAGCGGGCTCCCCGCCGAACAGGGAGCCCGATGCAGGACTCCATTCTGGGACTCCAGGATCATGACCTGAGCCGAAGGCAGTCGCTTAACCAACTGAGTCACCCAGGCGCCCCTGGGTCTCATTTCCTTGCTGGCTGTCAGCTGGGGGCCGCTCTCGGCTCCTCGAAGCCGCTCTCAGCTCCGGGCAGTGGGCCCCTCGACCCCTCAGCCAGCAACTGAGCATCCGGTCCTTTTCACACTTGGAATCCCTCCGATCCCCTCCACCCCCCTTGTGTTGCTTTCCTCTGGTCTTTTCCATCTCCTCTCTCTGCTTTCTCGCGGCCTCTTCTGCTCCCTAGTCTGTGATTAGGGACTCCCAGCGGGCCCACCCGGATGTTCCCAGACCGGCTATCTATCTGAAAGCCAGCTGATGAATAACCTTAATTACATCTGCAAAGTCCCATCACAGCAACTCCTAGAATACCATGTGACCGAACAACCAAGGGACAAGAATCTTCAGGGGACATCTTGGGAATTCTGCCTATGAGAGCTTTCTTTATGGTAGAGCTTCCCACTGTCTTTAATTTGCTAATTAATTTTTTTTCTATGTCAGATGTATCTGTTAGGATTAGATTCAGTCGACTAGGTCAGAAAATCCAACCAAACAGTGGGCATTCTCACATGAAATGAGACTGGAGGCTGGCCATTCGGGGCTAACCTGGCGGTTCCACGAAGCAACAGTAACACAGGCTTCTTCTATTTCTAACCTTGTGATTGCTTCATGGAACAGATGGCGACTGGAGGTCCAGCCCTCACATTCACATTCCAGGCGGGGGATGGCCAGGAGGGGTTGATATTCCTTCTGGCTGAGGTACCTTCCTTTAAAGCAGCCTTCCCAGAAGTCACTCCCAGACCTTGAATGTACGTTTCATTGGCCAGAGCTTGATCATGAGGCCACACAGAGCTCCAGGGAGGCTGGGAAGCATGCTCTTTGGGGCTGGGCGATCTGCTGCCTGGAATAAAGCCAGGGCTCTGTGCCTATGGAATAAAGCCAGGGTTCTGTGGCTTAGGGAGAAGGGAAGTGGGACACTGGGTGGATCCAGCCGTCACTGCCACCTTGGCTATCCCAAGCGCATTTGCCTACAGATGCCTTTTTTCTCAGAGCACAGGGACAGGCTAACGAGCCGGCAGGAAAACAGAGGAGGTCAGTGACCAGAGCAGTGAGGTCTCCACCTTGCTCCAGCCGGTGTTTCCAATGTAGAGGACAGTGAGGGAAGATGACAATGGGGGCAGAGCTGTGCCAGTGAAATGCAGAGGGAGTCGAGCAGAGCCTCCACATGGAGGGGTGGCTTTTCCTTTAACCTATAGGAGAATGTGTGCCATCTAGCTGCCCGGTACCTGTATATTCTACTCTCCTGGCCCCAAAGTAGTGAAAGTATTCTAAGACCAAATTAAAGAGGACTGAAGAAAATATCAACAGAGGGTCAGAGGATGAAACCCAAGAGACGGAGAACATCAAGGCTTTGATGGAGGGGCAACGGGGGTGAATGCCATTGCCCAGTGGGGTGACCCATAGGATAAACTACTGCCATCTGAGGAAGCAGAGCCCCCTCAATGGCCAGGCCAGGAGTGCACTGGGGTGAAGAAGGCACCGGGCTCAAATGCAGGTCGGTCCCTCCAGAAGTAAGCGTGCCTGCGTGGGGATTATGGGTGTCAGCAGGACGGAGCCGGGATGGGGAGTGCTAAGGGAAGAAGCTGGAACCAAGGACCTAGACCAAATCAGGGCCCAGGCAGGGAGCATGGAGTCCAGATGCAGACTCACCTCAAAGTCAGCGGGAAGCAGTGAGGTGGCAAACCGGCGGGTGGCCAGCAGTTTGGCAAGGGGCGGCCTTGGCAGGCTGGGCGCCGCAGGAATTAGATCCACAGGTGAGTACAGATACCAAGGCCCCAGGCCCCGGGCAGGTGAACTTGTCTCACAGGCAGGCGGTCAAGGGCAGGAAGGCAGAGCAAGGCAGAGGGAAGGAGGAAGCCCAGAAGCAGCAGGATCCGGGCCTGTGCGCTGGAGGCGGGCGCTCCAGGGCCCAGGCTCAAGGACTCCACGTTTCTCCAAACTGAAGTTCTGACAAGAAGGCTCGAGTAGCTCTTCTTGGGTAGATGTCAGGCAGCCCAGAGCAGCCTGGAAACTTGCAGAGGGACGTGGTTTTTGCCTCCGGTCAGCGGGTGGGCAGAGCCGGAATCCCCTCTTCTGATTCTGGCAGAAAATCCTTGAGACTGCACCTCAGGGCCCCGCTCTGGAGAAGCCCCCGGCCCCCGGGCCTCTGCTCGGCCTGTCCTGGAGTAACAGCCCCAGGAACACGGTGGCCCCCAGGTGACCCCACCTGGTCATAACACTCCCCTACTTAAAATACCTCAGGGCCATTCCTTCCCCCTAATGAGGTCCTGTCCCCAGCGTTTGCTGAATGCTACGGCAAAGACAGTGTTTTGTGTTCACCCAGCCCCGCTTCAGCCTCCTCTTCCCAGGCCGAGGAAAACTGCCTTTCCCAGCCTCCCTCGTAGCTGGGTTGGGGCCATGTGACTAATCCCGGTGAACAGGCTGTCAGCGGAAGGAAAGTGAGTCACACCCCCCACACCCAATAAAGCACAGCAAAAGCAGGGGTGAGGTCCCAGGACTCGGCTCCTCCCTCAGCCTGGAGCCCTGGGCCTTGGCAGAGCCGCCAGACCCAGCCCCTCTCCCCCTTCCCACACCCACATACACACGAAGCCCGGCTGCTACCACACAGGGACCGGAGTGAAAAATAACTCCTTGTTGGAGTAGGCACTGAGATGTGTGGTTACTCGGTTCCTGAAGCAGAACCTAGACTGTCCTAACTAAATACAGCCACCACATGGACCAGGCACTCTCCAGCGTCTTCACGTGCTGGCCAAGCCTCCCACAACCAACTGTTCTCTCCACCGACATCTCCCACACCCCCCCATCCCCAGACACAGCCGCCTTGAAGGCGTCTCTGCCCCACCAGGCCAGTCTGTCATGCTTCTATCTCTCTGCCGCTGAATGTGCTGTGTGGGGACCCCCAGTGCCCTCCTGTGGCTCTCTCTGTGGCAAAGCCTCCGCCTGCGCCACCCAGGGGGCCTTCCCGAGAGCCCTCAGGTGGAGCGTGGGGTCAGAGGCCCGAGGACCTGTCTCCAAGGCCACATCTCTCCTCTGGTAGTGTAATTGTTTCTGTTCGCTTCTCTGCTAGACTTGAGTTTCTGAGAAGTGAGACTACATCACTGGAAGAACTCAGGGCAGGCTCAATAAGACATTCCATAGATTTTGTGTGTGAAGGCCTTGCTTGGGACAGAACCACCCGGAAGGCACATTTCCAGGCAAATGGCCTCAGTCTCACCTCCATGCGCAGCCAGAGGGAACCTCAACTCAGAGCCTCTATTTTGGGGATCCCAAAGACTCCCTCGGCACCTTCCCCAGGGCACCTCTTCCCATCTGACAAGCTGGGGTCAGAGCCATCTCCCCACCACGGATTATAATCTGCTCCCCCATCCTGAGGCCTCTGGTCGTTTCTGTGGCAACAGCTTTGCAGGCCTGACACAGTGGGAGACTGGGAGACAAGCCAGTGTGTGGGCTCCCCATCCTGTCCCGGTGTCAGCTAGAGCAGTCTGTCCACAGCTGAGGAAATGTGTGTATTGAAAAGGAAAGGAAATATTAAAAACCTGTGTGTGTGTGTGTGTGTGTGTGTAAAGCTGAAACAAAGATTTACAATTAGGAGTCCTTATGAGAAACCCTGGACAAAGGAGTACTTCCAGAAACGAAAACCAAAGGTTTTGAATGTGACTTGAAGTTGTCCTTGGGCAAAGTGCATCTTTCCAAAACAATTAGTCCAGCAGAGAACAGGACATCCCACCTAATGAGGCAAACTGAAATTAGAGCTAAAAATAATTTCAGGTGTATTTTGCCAAGAACTCAAAAGACCATTCAATCCGCAAACCTTCGGGCGCCTGGGTGGCTCAGTTGGTTAAGCGACTGCCTTCGGCTCAGGTCATGGTCCCAGAGTCCTGGGATCGAGTCCCGCATCGGGCTCCCGGCTCGGCGGAGAGCCTGCTTCTCCCTCTGACCCTATC